TACATATAATAATTTGTTAAATAAAAAATATAATACACAAAGAGTTATATAAAATGTATATAATATATAATTACAAAATATATGACAAAAAATTTTAAATATTTTATATAAAATATATTACAAAATGTATTACGAAATATATATTATAATTAATTCTATACATCTAATATGGAGAATTAATTATATTACAAAATAGAGTATAAAGTTAGTATAATTAACTAGTAATATAAAATATAATTTAAAATGTAATACAAAAGAATTTATTACATGAAATTACACGAAAATGTCCGAAATATTTATATGATGCAGAATTCATTAGAAATTTTTAAATCAGATATAGCTGATAAGTAATGATTAATCATATATTTGATTATAATCAACATGCAATTACAAAGCTTATTAAATTTTATATAATAAAAACTATTATGACCAAAAGAATCGTAAATAAAATTATCGATCGTTTTTTAATTTTTGGAAAAAGTACTTGGTCTACTAGCGCATTTTGCGTAGATTTCCAAAAAAAATATTTGGGAAAAGGTAGACGAAGCTTCGATGTAAATTAACGATTAAATCATAAGATAAAACGCGATTTAAAATTTGAGAAAAAACGCGACGAATAAATAAATCAACGATAGCCATAATACTCGATTCCAATGTATGTACATGTAATTTTTGGAACAATCAGAGGAACGATATAATTACTATATACGAAAATGTTTTGACGGACATTTGAAACGCTTTTTATAATCACGTCTGTAATAGGACATTTGTGAATATAGAATCTAATGCCCGATTTATTTTCAAGTATGTGATTTTATGCAAATTTCGCGATTGAGAATAAGAATATATGTACAGTTTCGCGAAGGATTGGCTAAACAGGATAAAATCTTATAAATCTTAAGATACCGTTATAAAAACATTGCGTTATCGCCGCGTTCAATGGAGGATAACTGGCCCAACTATTTGACCAGATTTCGAAAAGGCGGGTGGCAGTCGTCGTTGAGTTATTACCGAAACCATTGCTTCCAGAAATCGCCAAGAAAACCTGAGTTTAATTCCAATCCTGCAACGAACATCCCTAATTTTCAACAGAGCACCGAACTAGACGTCGCGGATGGATCTAACAAGAACCGACAAGAAATAATTCTCCACGATGAAGATCGTTTCGACTTCTCGCCGGTACGAACTTTACTAACGTTCATCTGACGAGAGGGATAGCGATAAGGTCCCTTAGCTAAGACAGCGATCGCATCTAAGAACGTGGAAAAAACGCGATGTTTTTACAACAGTTAATTAATTAATTTAACGAATATTAAATTCCGATACGAAATTCATAAATATCAATCAAATCACAAAATTCCGAATAATTCACTCGCGATTTTGCAATGTTGAAGGCAGTCGTCAAATTTTATGAACAAAAAGCTAATATTTAATCGTTAACTTAACATCGAGTCTTCACACTTTTATTCAATCATTTTTTTATTAAATATTAGAAG